AATGGTAAGCAGCTAATTGCATAAGTACATAATTTATGTATATAAAACACGAACACACGAATGAAAGAGAAGCATCACCATCATCACGCTACGATATAAGAGGTTAGATGCAAAATTCATAAAAATAGCCTCTGGTTTGTGCACCCTTGTCCTAATGATTAGCAGTTGGTTAACAGCAGTGCTGAGGCCCAGGAACGGGATGCTGGGAGTGCGTCCTCACTGCCAGGAACAAAGAACTCTGAAGTGAAAAACAGCCAAAAACGGCAGTTGTGCCTTAGGATGGCAGGAGGACGGCATGGGGACCAGAGGAGGTGCGGAGCCAAGTACTCCATAGCACAGATACAGCCACAAGGCTCTAGAGGTGACCAGCCACGAGCTGTGTGGATGCAAGTCACGGCACTGCTTGGCTAGGACAAGAGATCCCATCGCAGAAATAAGGCATTTCAACAGCACAGAGGCAACTGTAAATATTCAGCTCAGAGTGGACCACTAAGCCCAAAGCAGCCTATCCAAATCACACCAGGCAAATACATGGCAGCTTCCAGTTCGACAGCTCAGTTAGTTACAGGTTTACAGAAAAATCAGCTGGTCAATGGAGCACAAGATGAACCTGCAGTGTCACCACGAGGCCTTAAACATTTAAAATGAAAAAGCAAGATGACATCCCGAGCACTTCACCCATGAGTGCTGCTCCTGCCATCCGAACATATTAATTTGTGAAATGTTCTTGATTCCAAGTTCACCTGTTCCATGGACACAGAACCACATCCTAGGCAAGCAGAGACCAATCTTGGTACCGGTCGGGGCTTCTCAGAGCTTTGATTTTCTGCTTTACTTGCTGATTAGACATGAGCCTATCCATTAAACCGTTTGAGACTTCTACCAGGAGCTGTGTCTTTTGCCACTATTGAAATAAATGGTATCGCTTTGGCAACAGAATCACTTCTTTAGCAGCGATACTGTGACAGAAGTTGAACGCAAAGTTCATGTAAATTTCAACTTTTTTTTTCTGGTATAAAGAGAACATTCACTAAGATGTGGAAAAGAGCCACTATTTTGTCTCAGTTCTATAAGAGTGAGGATGAACTAATTTTACACCACTGCAGAGGGAACACGGCCTTTCTTATTGTACATAAAGCCTCTGTAATGTGTGTAATGTGTGTAGTTTCTCAAGTATGTATACAAGCCAAAAGGATCCCAATAAGTATTGTCACTTACTAATCCAAATTTAAGGCCCTTAAGCTGCTCTTGGTCCTTTCTGAAAAACAAGTGAACATTGTACCCACTTGTCTGAAACTTGGAATTTGTGCACACGGTTGAAAACATAGCTGTAGCTGCAGGTCCTTCTGCCTGTTTATAGCCAAAAAGGCTAGTTTTCCAGGTGAGATCCTGACATAATTCCACCCAGCACACTGATAAAAAGGTCAGAGAATGACCGATTAAAAAAAAAAAAAAAGATGGGGGAGAGAGTTCTCCTGTCTGTGAAAGGTTAGTCATCCTCCTTTCAGAAACTTGTGTCTTTTGGTGTCCCAGATAGAGCTGTCGGCAGCCGAGGAAAGCAGTGGGTGCCAATGGCTGGGAGGAGGGAGGCTCCCATGCCTTGAGGACCAGCACCAGCTGCTGTCGCAGGAGGAGGCCGACCAGGTGACACCGCGGTGCCCAGCGTGGCTGGTAAAACAAGCTTCAGGGCAACCTGGAGTTTCACTGCTGCCTGCTCACGCTGCGGGATACTCAGGTGCCTTCGTGCTCCTTACAGGAGGGAACCACTTGAACCACCAGACTGGATTTTGATTCACACTTTCAGACAAAAAAAAGAGAAAAATGGGCAGTTGTATACATACCTTGGAAAGTCTCTGCACAGACACCTCTATGTGCTCCTTCTTACACAGCCCTGAGGCCAGGGCTGAGCACAACTTCCCCTGCAATTAGACTGCTTGTTTCCAGTACAAACTAATAACACAAACTGCAGCTAGTTTGGTTGCTGGCAAGGAGCTGTAACAGACCCAGCACTGCACATAAACACAGCAAGCTTTTTAAGAAGGTAAAGATGGCACAGATGAGCAAAACAGACGTACATTTATTTTAAGCATAATTGTCAAAAAATTCATGTGTTACATCCTTGCCATCTTCTGATGGATGGAATAAAGCAAGAATCTAATAAATTAACCGGAAAGCAGAAATAAACCCCAGCCTTTACAAGGCTTTCAAAGCACAAAGCTGACAAAACGCACAGACAGCCCCACATGACTGACTTCAATCCTTCATGTTGAAAGTTCATTTATTCCTTTTCAATTGCCACAAAGTTTACACGTGCACAGCATACTCAGCAGTGAATTTCTCAGGTGCATTGCATGAGGGGACACCTATAGGTTTACTTTCCTTGGCATGGCATACATGATAAATTACATTTCAGTTTAGAATTGGAAAATACACACCCCATGGCTCAGTTTCAAATATTCTTAAGAAATAAAATCAAACAACTTGGCACCAACTCATATATATATATACAGCTTATCTAAGAACTAACACTGTATGCATTGAAAAGAAATCTAATTGACCATTTCCATACCAGGTATGACTATAAATTGCTCAGTCTAGGTCTTACCAGCTTACCTAAAAGGAGGCTCACATTCAGTCTAGGTCTTACCACTATACCAGCTTACCTAAAAGGAGGCTCACAGTCCCCTGTAAAGCGAATGGACAGCAGCATTAAAATGCATATGGAAATCATTGCTTAAAAGCAGGTTAATTACCTTTACACATATAGTTGTTCAAGCTTGGAAACGTTATTCCATACTCTTGTTTATGGGAATGTAAAATGCATAGGTGGTTCTAACTGGGTAGACTGGGAATAGTATGGCTGTTTGGGAGCATCTTGTGTCTTAATAGTAATTTGGCCAGTCTTCCTCTATTGGAATGTGCCTTTCATGAAGGATCCTCATAGAAAAAAGGCCTTCTTAGTAAGTAAATAAATGCCTGTGCATAGAAAGTGAAAACTATCACAAATACTGAGCAGATTCCTCCTCATGTTAACAGGGACTATGTCAAAATCCTCAATAAACAAGGAAGACCCAGCTGCGCACTAGGCCCTCAGGAAGTTCTTCCTCACGAGGGAGGGAGGGAAGGAGGGAGAAGAAGAGAAGGAAGAAGGTGGAAGAAAAAAAGAGCCTTTTAAATAATCTGTTGTTTTTAAAGGTAAAAGAGGTCATTATTAACTTGCTTTGAAAGAGTTTGCAGCAGGAACACGTGTTTTGTAAGCTCTAATGCTATGCAAACTATTTAGCTACATCACAGAACAACAGACGAAACGACTTCTGCTCAGTTATACTATACCTATGCATTTTAGGTCACAATTGTCTGAAAAACAAACAGTCCATTGCTTTTGATTGCATAAATGCAGCTGATGTTTGTGGATGTTACAGATTTATTCTCCAAAGCTTACAGGAAAGATACGAGAATTATTTGTTCTGGTTGGGAAAGAATAGGTAAATGGAATGCAAAAACAAAACAAAAAACAAAAGCATTATTCTGTTTTTATATCTGAATTGAGCTCTACAGACTAGCCGGACTTACATACATCTAAAGAGAAGCAGTTAAGTAATAATTTTTGTTACTATTGCGTACAAACTCCCTATCCAGAAACGAGATAGGCATCTAAAGACTGAGACACTGACATCTAGTGGCTGCCATGCAAGACCTAACATTTCTAAATACTCCTTGGAGGAAAAAAAGACTAATAATAACTCACTCATGGGTTATTTGCAACTTGCTTTCTATATCACTATTCACAGAAAGTTTGCTAACTTATTCAAGTGCAGGCTCTGTCCTCACCCTGCTTTTTTAGCATCACGCACTACTGAAAATCTCTCACGTGGGAGAAAGAACAAAGTCAGTATTTCTGGGCCCGGCCTGCTCACTTGGCCTTGTAAGCTGCATTGACATAAATAAAAGCTGATAGCTTATATGAAACCCTAAATATTAGAGTTCAGAAAAACAATATAAGTTCTTATATCCTCACAATTATGAAATAAAATAGTATCCTGGCATGAAATACTTAAATTATCTGATATGTGATCCAAAAAGATATGTTGCATAACTTAATGCACTATCATCTCCCAAGTTCTTACATCAACTCAAGTCTGATTGCAGAAAAATATATTAATCACAGCTGTACATACTCATTAAGAACTCTTTACTTTAGCAAACTCTTACAGCGGCCAAGACAAACTCATTTTGATGAGGTAGTGTTTAAAAGAGCCCTGTGTGAAAATAGATTCAGTCATTCCTGGTAGAACTTCCTTGTGCTTAAGCACTGAAAAACACTGTTGAGAAAGAAGCGACTGACGTCTGCATGCTTTACACTAGATAGCTGACAGAACAGGAGAAAGAAATGACTGAATGAAATCACATTTGGTGTAAAATGATACAATACTGCACCTATATACTATTTTTTTTTAATGTTACTGAATAATTCTATTGCAAAAACATCCAGAGGCTAACACCAGTAATGTAAAGTAAACCCTCCTTACCTCTAGTTGATTCTCTAAAGCAGGAGCTAACTCTGCTTATAATACGTCTTTGGGCTTATTAATGTTTATTTTTGTGGGACATGTCAGGAATTGCACTCATAACATTGTGTTTAGCTAGAATTTATGATATGTTTCAGGCTATTATGAAGCCTAAAAAATAAATCACACCAATTCATAATTTAAATAAAATAAGCAAAATATATAATTGAAAACCAATTGAATATGATAATCAAACATGAATTATAAAAGCATCTTTGGTTAAGCTCTACTTTAAAATGCTTGTCAAAATAAAAGTTGGATTTGCAACATAATGCAGGGCAGCAGTCCTTCCTCAGTAGTCCTGCTGTAACATGTCCAAGACCTGCATGAATACAACAATGAGGATGTTAATATTCTTGGGAAAAAAAGATGTGACCTGTCTGTACATCTAAGAGCTTAAAAATATAAATTTAAAATTTCAGCAATAAGTAAAAAAAGTGTTTCTCGTTACAATTCTGTATTAGGGCAGATTCACAGAGCTAACTTTTATAAAAATACAACATACTGCATAAGTTTTATTTAGGGATTTAATTTATATACCACAAATACTGCTTTTCATATAAGTACAATATAATACAATTTTATTCATGTAACTGCTGGTGTTCACTTCGGATCATGAACTGAATGGCATGCTGTGCTGTCAAAACTTTAATAAAATGGCCTCTAGTTAAACTTCTCCAAAGTATAAAATCATGCAAAATCTACATCCTATATGATACAACCAGTACAATAATTGAAGCCAATAGCCTACAAACAGCCTGGACTATCTTCTGAGTGTGTTCTTGAGGTGTCCACAAGCCAGCCGTCATTTTCGTTAGGCAGAAAGGAGGAATTTCAGTCTCATCATGACCACTGAAACCAGCAACAGTGTGCACAGTTATTGGCCAACAAATCTTCGTTACCTAATGCAGTTCAGACTGCACATTTAGTCCATTTTGACGAGTCTGGGGTTAGGAAGTTTTACGCTTTCCTCCTGTGACTACTGGCCGTGCATATTCCACAAAATCATCTATAAGAACAGGCCACGCTCCTAAAGGGAAGTCAAGCAATTTAGAAAAAAAAACGTCATCATTAGCAATAAGTTATTTTACTCTTAAAATTGTACCTTACTTCAACATTTCTAACATAGCCTGGTTCTAACACACATGACTTGATGGACACTTGATAAAGCACCTAGCTAGTAGATCAACACATTTAAATCTCCTCTTGCAGCAACAGTTCCTACTACAAATCAAATATATTCAAGGCATAATCTACACCACCAGGTTTAAATTTAGCTGAGAACAAAATCTTAGTTTTCCTGTTAAAGTCATTCATAATTTGAAAAATATTTCTGTACACATTCATCCCAAAGCAGGATTTGCAGGATTAGTGACAGAATGCAAGCTGCATTTAGGCTAGTAAAAATATGCTTTGGTTGACATTCTTGCAAGAAGCAGAATGATATATAGCCTTGCTGATAGCAACATTTCTGACCTGAAATATGGTTTAATGGGGACTTCTGTAGCATAACAAATTCAAATAAGATGTGCTATATAATGGCCTGACAGAATCTTTAGTTTTACTGACATATTAAAGCAAACTTGGTTAGCCAGCTTCATGTTAACTTTTTGGTAATAAGCACAACACTCTATTTGCAGCTACACCTTCATGGGTAAACAAATTAATACATCAAGTAATAGTAGGTTCTGTTGCTCATTCAGAACAAAACTGTAATTCTGCTATAACGATGTTTGAAAAGTTACTCAAGCAATTGTTACCTTCTTCATCATAGTTGGACATATCATCTGCAATCATATTTCCAAAGTCTAATAGAAGATTCCAAGTATCCTTTGGGATGGATCTTTTATGATGTTCCTACAAAGGAAGAAAACGGTACTGCTGAGTAGTAAGTAGTTTCAGCTTTCAGAGTAGTATTTTATACTTTTTCGCACTGAAGTTGAGAGTAACCCATCACCTCAGCCTCTCTGATCAACTATTATCTCCATCAGAGCTCCGTATCTCTTTTTGCTCCACTTCTCCCCTCTCCAGCCTCTTTCTCAGTCAATCTTATTCACCATTCCCACACCCTGGCCCAATTTCAGGTATCCTCCTTCTGCACCACCATTGTGCGGAAAATCTCGCTGTCAAGAACTGAATGTCCAAAAGGAGACAGAGGAGTCCTAAAACTTTATTCGAATAAAGGGAGAGTCCACCGGGCATATCCCTGTGGGATCTCTCTTTATTCGAATAAAGTTTTAGGACTCCTCTGTCTCCTTTTGGACATTCAGTTCTTGACAGCGAGATTTTCCGCACAGCCCCTTCACATATTTGTTTCCAGTCTGGCCAGTTTGAGCAGCACTCCAGAAAGCCTTATTCCTAGTCAGCTTTCTCCAAGCTTTCAGTGCCAGCCCTTCCAGCCTCCCTCTCAGCCCCATTCACAGCTGCTGGCTCCTGCTGCCCTCCTCTGCGCTGGCACTGATGCGGCCAGCTGGGGCAGGCAGTGGCAGCCCCCCTTTTCTCAACCTCTTCTTCCATCCACATGCTCCCACGGGACCTCCTCAGCCAGCTGTGGTATTGGCTGATCTCTTAGAAATACAAATGGTTAGCCCAGAGGAAAGTACTAATTTATTTTTGTCCTCAAATTGTTTTCTGGCAGCTTAGCAAAAAGAATCAGCTCAGGGAGTGAGACAGACTTCTTCTGGCAATAATACTTTGGTATATTCAGGAGAATAAACTGGATTACTTGAAAAGTTGAAACTTCATCAAAACTAGGTTGGACTGTTGTCCAGCAAAGCATAAAACACGCCTCTCTGACACAAGCCAAGCATCTTATCTTGACTGCAAAATATGACAGGCAAACACATCTTTGGAAAACTTAAAAAACAGAAAAAAAAAAACCCACACCTAAAGATTCCTAGCTTGCTACTCCCCTAGGTTATTTTTTTTTGATCTAAATGTTTCTTATGAAACAGACATACTACATGCAAGACTTTTAAGTTAAATATTCACAACAAAGACAAATGTGTTTTATACCAGACTCTCTATAATAGGTCTTGAATTAAAGACTTGCACAACTGTTTGTCATATTATATACTCAAATCAAGGGAAGGGAAGCATTAAGATTTCCTTAGAAATCTTAGCTTTCGAAGTCTTTAATCTTTTCACAAGTTCTCTTGGTGAAACAAGGGTATACGGTCAGTGGATAAAATACACTGTCGAAAAAACCTCACTGGTTTAGAAGAGAGCTTATAAGAAAATGTTCTAAAAAGTATACACTTCACCTATTATTCATTAGCTCATAATAAAATGTTCTAAAAAGTGTATACTTTGCCTATTATGCATTAGGGTTTATGGGATAAAACGTAGAAAGACTTTTCATTCTCCTAAACTACAAAGAAAAAGTTAAACAGAAAAAAAAAGATGAATTATATCTTATATAATGTCAGATAATATAAGTTTTTGCAAACACAGAAATGCAAAAGAAGAAACACAGATGAATGAATTTGGTCTTTAGTGAGAATATTTTGTGATTTCTAAAGTTCAATTTATGCACCTTTATTCAACCGCCTACAGACTTGTACTGATAATAGAAAACCATTAAGATTAGTTCCAAACTTTTATCTAAAGAATGAGTCAAAATAATTACTCAGACAAGAACTTTCACTTAAAACTAAAAGTCTCTCAGTGTTAAGGCAGTCATAACAGAACTGACATTTCGAGAACAGTGAGTTTACGCGTTCACACTACAAAGAGCAGAACACGGTGAGGTTCACGGCTCACAACAGGCACAGCTGGCTGCGAAGGAAGACACCGCAGGTTCAAACTTCTTTCAGGCAGAAGCTTTCATGAGGGGGAGACCACCTTGTGTGTGTTGCCTTGACACATCTTTTTGCTTTATTCTCAATTAGGCAATTATACATAGAAGATTTAATCTGGCTTGATTTAAGAATATCGTATCAGTTTTTAGAAATACTCAAAGGAAGTAGTCAAACCTCCTGCCTTTTTCTTTATTGTAAGCATCAGCTATACAAGTGAGAGTGCTGTGGACTAAGATATCCAGGAAGAAATGCAGTATGTACTTACCAGCAAAAATTTATTCCAAAGATCTAGAAATTTAAACCTTCCTGATAAGACTAAATTCCAATATGCAATCGCCATTTCTAGATCTGTAAGAAAAAGTAACACAAATACTCTATGTATTAAAATTGTTGCAGTCACACAGTAAGTGCTTTATCTAGTAGGCTGTGATACAGATGAAAAATATTCTTTTTAAATCATTATGAATAACTGCTATTCTGTAGTCACTGACCCAGAAAGGAGGAAGACAAGTAGTAACATTAAAAATTGCATATAGACTATTATAACTATTAAAAAAAATCTTCTTGTCAACATCCAGCAGTGCAGGATTTAAGTTACTTTCAATCCACAGAAACAGAACACAGTAATTATCAGTAACTCTGGCTACAAGAACCACACAAAACAGTCAAACATGGAAAACATCAATTAGAAAACCTAAACATTTAAATTTGGAAGTGCCAATTCCTTTAATTTATAGCACTTTATACATGGACCAGACTTCAAGAGGATTTTGAATAAAAGGGAGGTGGGGGCAAGATTTGCCTGGAGCACGATAATTCTGCAGCACCCTTTACAGCAATGCAATTTGCTTTTCTAGAATCATTTAACAGAGGAATACTTCTATCCAAAACTGAAAATGCAAGTTCAGGAGAGGAGGTTTTATTCTATACTGCCAGCAAGGATATAAGAGCAGAGCTTCTGCATACCAGCAGTAGGATGCAGTCATGCCACATATTCAAGCAGAAGAGCATGGGCAATGAGGTACAGCATAAGGGTAAAACTGTTTAAGACCTGTTTTCATTCTCAGCAACACAAAATGCCCGCTTGTTTCTGACTGAGGCCCCACAGATAGCAGTGCTAAATATGTGCACACTGCTGTGTGACCACAAAAAAAAAAAAGGCCTTTTCTTAAATAACAAATTGATTTTACTGTTTGCTTCTCCTGTAAAACAGGTACAAAGTGTGAAAACTTAGTAGAAAGTATTGTCATGGTATATCCAAGAGAAGCTCGACTTCCACCTAAAGGAAAGGAACACGGTATCTGGAATTCAACTTGTCATCTTACAAATCAAAAGCCAGGGTTTTACCTCAAATTAAGCTGCAAGTCTGAAACTTCCAGACTTCAACACAGCCAGTTCCCTAGAGTCTCTATAACAATGGGCTAGGGCCCAGACATCAAAAATGTTAAGTAGACAGTTAGCAGACAGTTAGTAGAAGATGACAGAGATTTGGTAAACATATACAATTATACGACATTAATTAATACGACATTATTAATTATACAATTATATATACACATATACAATTATACGACAACAGCTCCACAGGTGGGGTTTTTTTTTTTTCAACTGTGATCGGCATGTCTTTCAGCACAGAATTTACTTTCTGCCCCAATAAACTTTTTCAGCTCTTGCTGGCTTTGCCACCACCTATTCATAATCATTTCTCACAGAAAATAAGCAGAACAAGTCAGTTTATTTCCTGCTTAGATATACGGATTTTAACTCATAACAGTCATCTCAAATGAAAAGCAAAAGAAATTGAAAGGGAGAAACTCAAAGAATATTAAGGGTTTCTCAAATTCACTGTGAAGTAACTGGCTTTGGCCCCATTCATTCAGGTTTCATTATGAAAGTCAATCCTTTCAAGCCAACCTTGTAAATCTCTCCTGTGACAACATCGAGTAAAAATTTTTCTCTTCAAAGTGCATTTATGGCATGAGAATTTTTATACATTAGATTAAATATTCCCTGGAAAAAGGAAGATCACATATGGGCAAAGAAGCAAAGACAGATGAAGATGCCATAAAAAGTTAAAAGGGAAAAAAAAGGCAAGATTTCCTCGATTTGTTTCCCTTACTCCCAAAATATTTCAGTATCATTAGCTATCAAATGTTGCACTTCATGTAGGCCCTTCTGTGTAATGCCTTGAAAATAGAAATTGTTATTATACACTGGAACAAAGCTTCATTATCTAGATGCCCAGAAAAACAGTTAAGTTGTGCATGCATACAGCATCCACACAGCTTTCCGTAACAATCCTCTTAAAACTAGCTATGTATCATTTAAACATTTTTTAAAAATTTAAAAAGAAATTTTAATTTATATATACAGAAGCTAATCAAAACTAGAGTTCAATGAGAAGGGGAAGGCGAGTATAATACTTCAAAAGAGCTTCTTATACTTCTGAGTTATTTCAATAATGAGCTCTTCCCAATCAGACGCAAAACATTTTGCATGTAGCATGATCTCTAAAAGATTAAAACCTCATTCTAAAGTTATGTTAAAACATAACTCGTTGCCTGATTGAAGAGAACTTGAAGTGACAATAAATATCTCCTACATCGATTGTGCTAATTTGGTAATTTTTATCAGAGAGCCTTCATCTACTTTCAAGGTTTAATCAGAGCTCATTTTGTTAATGAAAGTTTTCACTGATTTTAATTTTTCATGGAATTAGACTCTTACATAGCAAGAGAGAAACGCCCTCCCCCTCAACAATTAAGAGTTCCTTGTCCTTTTGCTATGATTCTGAGCAACAGGAATGAAGTTGGTAGATACAAGTCATCAAGAAAGTGAGAAAACAAAGATAAATCCTACCCTCCAGCCAATACCTTCCTATCTGTTGCTTTATGAGGAACATGAAGTTAAGTTCATTTAGACCTGCTGTGCCAAAGCAGCACTCTGGGAGCGCAGCACTCACCTGTCATCGTCTACTAGGGAAAGGTGTCCAGCTCTCCTGGATTGCCTTTCCAACAAAGCTCTTCGTGAAGTCATATTTGAAGCTACCAAAATACTAAAACTATTTCACTTACATTACTGACCAAGCTTAAAAGTAAAAAGTTCAGAAACTCTACACTGGTGTCCTCATGATGATTTTTAAAACTTTAAGCTATTTAGAATAATATTAACCACATCTGCCTTTCTAACCCCTAGTTAGCATGCTGACTAAGTTCTGCACATCATGACAGTCTACCATGTTTTAGAGCTTGGAAATAAATCATTTATTTTAACTTCACCTTTTGATATTTACTCGTGGTCCCCATATTGCCTTTTACTTCCTGTATTAGTTTAATCCTGACAATATCGTAATGCTTCATATAAAACATCTATATGAAGGACTTTGGGCAGCTTCTTAAGGTTCACTGGGGATTGGAGCATCTCCTCCATGAGGAGAGGCTGAGAGAGCTGGGCCTGTTCAGGCTGGCAAAGGGAAGGCTGAGAGGGCTCTTATCACTGTGCATAAATATCTTAAGGGAGGGTGTCAAGAGGATGGGGACAGACTCTTTTCAGTGGTGGCCAGTGATAGGATGAGAGGCAATGTCCACAAAATAAAGCACAGGAAGTTCTGCCTGAATCTGAGGAAAACCTTCCTGCTTGCGAGGCTGACAGAGCACTGGAACAGGCTACACAGAGAGGTTGTGCATCTCCTTATCCAGAGATATTCAAAACCTGCCTGGACATGATCCTGTGCAATGTGCTCTAGATGATACTGCTTGGACTAGATGATCTCCAAAGATGCCTCCCCATCCCAATCTATGATTCATTGCTCACCAATGAGTTTTATCCAAGGAATACTATCCCAGACTATAACGGCAGTATTTTTTTTTGTAACAGGAAGTATTCCCTGGTCCATTTACAGACACAAAACAAACCATTATAAGAGAATACACCTCAGAGATTAGAGGTGCAATATTTCAGAGTTTGGAGTCCCTTCACTTGAGGCTTTCTCTCATCATTGCATTAGCCCAGACTTACTCTATGCTCCTGAAATGAAAAAAAAAAAAAAAAAAAAAACAACCAAACATCCTATTCCTAACACATCATAAGAAAATAATCTGGACAGATACAAGGCACAAATGTAGGTTATCATTCAATTGCCTTGTAGGAGTGTTTAGCCTATGCAAGACATCAATCTTCAGACGTTCTCTTTATGGTCATGTAATTTGCCCTAAGGTATCACTCAGTTGATATTCTTTGATGTCTTTCCCATGCCATCCTCACTGTAATCACAGGCAAAAAAATAATATTTTCAGAAAGCCAAAATAGAAATTATACTGCATAAAAATAATTATTTTACTTCAATAAAATTCCTTGACACTATGCAGACACTGGTACAAGTGTGGAAACTGTCATGAATATATCTAAAGAATGGGACTATCACACTACCTGACCAGAAAGGACAAATGAATACTTGCAAGATTCAATGAGTTACTTGATTCCTTGTGTCCTCGTCTCTCTGAATGATTTTAAGTCTTCTTTGGCCTCCAAATTACTATGAACATGGACAGAAAAATTAGTTCCTTTCTTAGTCAGACATGTTTCTTCTAGATAGTAAATACAATTCGCGTTGTAGAACAGCAAGAAAATACCATCAGGATTCAACCTGAAAGCCCTTCACCAAACTGCTAAAAGTTTACACCTAAATAGCCTGTATCTGCAATTCCCCAAAGGGGCAGGGGACAGGGAAGGGGCACAATACAGACACTGAAAATGACTCAATTCAAATTCCAGCTGAGTTGGACCGATTAATCCCTGCAAAGCCATAAGCAAAGAGCTCCCCAGCACTCTAGGCAAGTAGACATTTGCTATGCAGCATCAGAGTTAAGTCCCTGCGGAACATAAAGCACAGGGAAGCACGGGGAAGCGTGAGGATGCAGATCTCTGAGCAGCTCCACAAGTATCTGACTGTATTTATTAAGTGTAGCTCAGCAGCAGCTATGCTGAAGGAGTCCGAATCCATACAGAACTCTTTTTGCTTGTTATCTTGAGCATCGGTTGGACAAAAACAGGTAAATTGCCTCTGAATAGGAGCTAGGCTCAGAAAGACAGCTAGGAATTGAGTGCAAGCTAGTGAATCTTGTTGTAGTCAGTGTAAAAAAATCATTCTCTGATATAGTTGACCTGTTCTGATAAGCTACAGCTGATGACTGAAAGTTGGCTCTATATACATTTCCCAAATACAAGTCAAATGAGTTAAAGAATCAAAGAGGTATTACTAGGACTGGTAGCTATACCATGCTCCTGATGTTACTATGGCCTTTTTTTTCCACTTACAGTACCCTGTCCTATACTAAGTTTTTCTAAATTACTGGCCTTTTGAGAATGAAAGACAAAAAGTTAGTAAGAACAAAGCAAGGGCCATAAGCACAGACCAAAACTACTGAAACACGATTCAGATATAACAGTCACAGATCTTTTTCACAAATAATCATGAAATTCCTTGATTGATTTTGGCTTTCCCTTGTTTTCTTCTACTGCTACTGGTTTCTGTATCTACTCACTTTTACCCTACAGATGGATCAGTCTAGTCTTTGATAAAAAGTGGAAGAAAACTTGGTAACTGGTTAGAGGAGAGAAAGCAGGAAAAAAAAATAAGCAGCAGCTCTCTCCCTGCTGTCTGTCTGTCCTTGCATATTAGGCCTGATAGCATGCTGTAACACATCGTGATCTATTTTGAGAATTGAATGAAACAATCTCAAACTGTTAAAATCATCTTTGAGATTCTGAGGATGTCAGATGAGATTCTAGGCGAATGCACTCAAATATTAATCATTGGGATTTTCTATCAAACTGGAAGAAACAAAACTGGACCAGTCTTGTAGCCCAGCACACTAACTAACAATATCGGTAACTGAGATGATACAAAGAAAACTTACTTAATCTGCAAGTAATACAAGGCCTTGAAAAGGTATAGCACTGGAGAGAGCAGGACTGGAATTCAAAATTGTCTGGATAAATGCAAAGAAGTGTTGAATAGATAGAAAATATTTTTTTAGAAAGAAATGTAAAGTGTTGTTAGCAAACAAGATGACAACCAACTGGGTGCACAGTAGTTCTGCAGAATTCCATAAACAAAGGATCATAATTGTTGACAGTATTACTAAGATAAGCAAACAATATGGGGATATAAAGCAAGGAGTGAAATACCTAGGGCACACCAAATATCTTCCTACTGCAGGACAAGAAACAGATAGATAGATAACAGGATAAGGTTAGAAACAAACAAACCACCACTATCAGAGACCTAAAAGACAAAATTTAGCAGGGTAGTTTATTTTACTAGACACTAAGTGAGGACATAATATAGTTGCTAAATATATGTAAAAAATTCTTAGTAACTGTACAGAAATACACACCTATGTAATTTACTCTGGACACAAGTATTGAATAAAAAAAATCAGCAATGGAGATTGAAGTTATAAGCTAGAAAAAGAAAAAACAACAACAACAATAGGTGTGATCAAGCACTGAAAAAGACTGTCTGAGCAGGAGATCTGTCACTGGAAATGAAGAGAATACTAAGTGAAGGCAGTGGCTCCCAAACCTTTTCAGCTAGAGGATCACCATGAAACCAGTCTTGATTTTTCTTGCAGAAAGCTACTGAAATGCTAAGCTAGTCTATATTGCTAACATACTGTTGATACTTGATTAGAAAAACATCCGTTCAGGCAATAGTCAATCCTGCTTGGCAAAAAGGAATATATTAAATAACTGTTTATCTAAAACAAGTGTCACTTATGATAGTTTTGCTCTAATCAGAGCATGTTAAGATATTGATACAGCAATAAACATGACTCTTGGCTAGAGCATTTGTGCTTGGACATTTTAGAGACATTGGAGTAAACTCTTATTATTTCAGTACATTAAGATAATAAGCATGAAAAATAACTGTATAAATGAGTTTTCTTCGGCCTTCACGTGCATATTTTTTTCTGGTGAGCTCTAGTGTCATGTCTTTTATTAAAAAAAAGAAGAAAAAAAAGTGTTAGAAGTTAGCCTGAAGGATCCAACAGATGTAATTATCTCCTCAGAAAAAGACTTTCTTGTTTGCTATTGGTACTTTAGCAACGTAGTTAATTTTCGAACAGGAACCTGAGATTCGAGTAATATTCTTTTAACAAACAGATCGCTGTCCTAAACCAAAATTAGAGCTGTAGCTACCAGGGGTGGTTATTTAAGTTTTCTGTGTAGTAAAGGAGCAGTGAATACAGTGAACAGTTCATGACGCAATAAAATATTCTGTAATTGAAAGTCAGAAAATGATTCCTTTGATTATTTCCACTTTGTGAATTAAGATCATTCACTGTTTCGCATGCAGTCATATCAAAGAGGAATCAATGCTCCCAGAGGATAAAAACAAATAACGCCCAAGTCTTCTTTGAACCTTATTTTCTACAAACTAACTGGCCTATTTTGATCTTCAAAGTTGTAATTCAAACGTGAGTACGTTATGTGAATGAATACACAAAGACCATCACAGGAGCATCTAAGCAGCAACGAATTAAAGGCAGCCCAAGCACGGCAGTTGCCCAGGAGCACCCTACACTTTCAGAGCACTGCCCACCATCCAGTACACGTGTGGGGAGGAAGGAGGGATTCACAGCTCAAGAGGAAGCAGGGCAGAACTAGGCAGAAGTCAACACCAGCTCATTTGGTAACAAATCTAACTGTGAGCTCTTCTGTTTCACTGTCCGGACTGAATTCCTAGAAGCATCTTGAACCAAGGCTCCAAACTTAGTAAGAGAGAAAAAGACTCTCTCCAAGCTCCTGTATCTCCCTGTCACGCAATCACTGAAGCACAAACAGCAAACACCTCTAGATGACTTTGGAGAGAGGAAGGGAGAGAAGACCAACAAACTATTTTCTTCCAGAAAAAGAACTGTATAGAGAAGGGGATATAAAATAAACAGAAAAGGTAAAGACTGTACTAGCGGTCACTGAAGGAACTAGAGTTCTCAGCTCATATTGAAGCCTCTGTAAGATAATTGACTAAACTTCTGG